ACACACACACACACACACACACACACACACACACACACACACACACACAGAGTAAGACTGAAGCCGACCCAAGAAGGGCATGCAGAGGGAGTCCACAGCTTCATCAGGCGGTGGGGACTCCTCTCAGCTCTGCAGCTGATCCCAGATCTGCCTCGGCTGGACAGCAGCTACAGAGTGATGCTGACTCAGAAACTCTTGGTCTGGTTTGCTGCTCTTTAGTTTGCTGCTCAGGTTTGTAAGAACGTGGTTTCATAAATAAGTGCTGAGTAAACACTGCAGTGAAATATGAAACACTTTGGTAAATGGCGTGCTTCTGTCACTCTCCCATCCCGACTGTCACTTCCTCCTCTTCCTGTCGTCTGTTTTTCCTGATCTTCTGCTCTCGCGTTCACACTCGGCCCTCTTTAAACTGCTCTGTGGACATGAAGATGGATGAAATGAAAGGTCGGCCGCTATCAGCAGATTTAAAATGTTTTAAAACAGATTACCACCTGTGAGGAAGTTTGCAGCCTGAACCTCTCAGCTCAGGAGCCTCAGTTCATCTCATTCAATGCTCAGCCACATAACAAGTTTGTTCATGATGAGACTGTTTTTGTTTCTTTCATCATATTGTTTCCTTTTCTTTATACATTTTGTTCCACGTGTCAGTAATTGATTTATTTCACTGATATTATTGCAAACAACGGGAACGTGGAGCAAATCTTATAAAACTCCTGCCTCTGATAAATGTTTGCAGACCAGAAGGAGATCTGCTGAGCTTAAAGTCACAGTTTTCAGTGTATTACCTTGTTCAGTCACCATGGTAACTGATACTGAACATCTCACCTGGTCCGGAGCAGGCGAGGCTCACAGTTTCCAGCACAGTGTGTCTTTAAAGTGGTCACCAGTGATTCCACTGTAGAAACATGAACAGTCAGAGCTCTGTTGAGCCAACCATCCCTTTAACGTTAACTAGTAATGACTTCATGAACTTCTTCACAAATAAAATTTTTATCATTAGAGAAAAAATTACCAGTAATCATCCCACAGATGTAATATTATCTACAGCTACTCTTAGTACCATTGATGTTAAGTTAGACTCTTTTTCTCCAATTGATCTTTCTGAGTTAACTTCAATAATTACTTCCTCCAAACCATCAACCTGTCTTTTAGACCCCATTCCTACAAAACTGCTCAAAGAAGTCCTGCCATTAATTAATTCTTCGATCTTAAATATGATCAACCTATCTCTAATGATCGGCTATGTACCACAGGCCTTCAAGCTGGCTGTAGTTAAACCTTTACTCAAAAAGCATCTCTAGACCCAGCAGTCTTAGCTAATTATAGGCCAATCTCCAACCTTCCTTTCATATCAAACATCCTTGAAAGAGTAGTTGTCAAACAGCTAACAGATCATCTGCAGAGGTTTATTTGAAGAGTTTCAGTCAGGTTTCAGAGCTCAGCACAGAAACAGCTTTAGTGAAGGTTACAAATGAAAGCTTAGAAATATGGTATCTAAGCAGATTCTTCCTCTGGATGGCATTACCTTGGCCTCCAGTAACGCTGTGAGGAACCTTGGAGTCATTTTTGACCAGGACATGTCCTTCAACGCACATATTAAACAAATATGTAAGACTGCGTTCTTCCATTTGTGCAACATCTCTAAAATTAGAAATATCCTGTCTCAGAGTGACGCTGAAAAACTAGTTCATGCATTTATTACTTCCAGGCTGGACGACTGTAATTCATTATTATCAGGAAGTCTAACTTTCTGATTTCAGACTGTTTAGCTGATCAGATGTGATGAAATAATAGAAACCAGAACGCTGCTGGTATCACAGCTCCTGTGGATGAATGTAGCTCACAGACCTCAGTCTGGGTCCTGCAGATGCAGCTCTGTGAACGTGAACATTATTTGGTAATGTTTATTTTTCATCACTCACAATATTTTATATCTTCCTCCCACCTCGACTACTCACATAAATTTTATCATTAATCTAAGACCCGCGTGAAAAAATATAACCACCGCTGTCGTAACACCAGCTCTGTGAAGTTACTGAGCTCAAAGCAGAAATCAAAGAAGCTGCTGCAGGAAGAGTTACTGCCCTGATGGTTTCTGGACTTTATTTGAATGTAATTTGCTGAATAGTGCAGAATTTCATTTTATTAGAGGGATGAGTGAGAGCAGCATCAGTCAGCCAATCACTGATCAGCGTGTTGGAGAGGAACCTTCATCGCAGCTTTATAAGGACAATCAGGCATGCAGCAGGAAATCCCCCACTCAGTACACACACACACACACACACACACACACACACACACACACACACACACACAGTGAAATACCAGCGGGTTCCCACAGACAGCAGATTTCCATGTGAGGACAATAAAGTCTCATCTGCAGTCTGAGAAGAATCTGTCTCGGCTGCTGAAGTCGTTTCACTCAGTGAGTTTGTATCTGCAGGTCACATGACTCCTCACAGTGTAAGAGGAAGTGTTCATATCCTTTCAAAATAAAGAACTGCCAAACTACAGCGTGCATCGATCCATCAGAGTTTGAATTCCTGC